AATAGAATAGAATAGAATAGAATAGAATAGAATAGAATAGAATAGAACAGAACAGAACAGAATAGAACAGAACAGAATAGAGGGTAGGGTAGGGTAGGATAGGATAGAGAATGGAATGGGAATGGGAATAGAGTAGAGTAGAGTAGAGTACAGAATAGGAATAGGAATAGGAATAGGATAGGATAGGATAGGATAGCACAGGACAGGACAGGACAGGATAGAGTAGGTAGGGTAGGAGGACTGGACAGGACAGAGAATATAACGGAACAGAACAGAACAGAATTTATTGGCCAAATGTAATTAGACTTACAAGGAATTTGTCTCTGGTGTATAAGCTCTCAGTGTGCATGCAAGCAACAAGTGATAAATCATGATTGTAATCATAAGATACAATCATAAATCATAAAATACAACTAGTGATAAATCATAATACACCAATAGGTGAACGTAGTATGAAAGATGAGAGAGATGAGAAAGATAAGAAGAGGAGAAGGATGAGAAGATCACAGCAATAATAGCAAATACGATCTCTGAAAATCTATTTAAATAAATAAGTAAACATGGCTGGCCATTATTATTTTACCAGAGCAACCATTTTTAAAAGCTTGCACCCACTAATATTTAACCTTTCTTTATATTTGTATAAAATGTTGATACACCCTGTTCTTACATAATGTCAACTGAGCCGCGATTAAAACATAAAACCAGCCAACATTATTTTAACGAGTCTATATTCTGAATGGCAAAACAAAAAAGAAAAATGTTAAGAAATGATGAACGTGGGGCGCTCGGTATAAATTCTATCGCTCTTTTTAAAAAGAGCTGTTTTGTAAAGGAGGGCCACAGAGCGAAGAATGAAATGTTTCACATAATGACTGACTGGTTTTGAAAGGGAAGAAGCAGAGACGCAGAGCTGGTTCTTTTTCAAAGCATCTCCTGAATGTGCTGTTATTTTAAGCTGGCAAATGAGCGAAATTCTTGCCTTTGTTAACTCTGATGAATAGGAGACATCTCCAGAGTAAAAAACAGGAGCTAAAGAAAAAGCAAAAATCTAGGCCATCAAGTACACACACACACACACACACACACACACACACACAAGTCTAGTTGCACCTGTGGCCCACAAACTCTAAAGGTCCGTTTCCAACCATTCTGATCCAGTTGGCACATCTGGACTGCTGTTTGATTATTTATTTACCAATAAAGGAAACTATTTGTAGGGGCCCTTGGTGCTCTCTGAACTTGGTGGTTTTTTTGCAGACGTTTCGTTAACCAAACTAGGTAACATCATCAGTGCTATCCCCAAAGGTGCTTTTTTGTTTTCAGGAGGCAAATAGACTTTTTTTTTCCTTTTGAAGACGTTTCGCTTCTCATTCAAGAAGCTTCTTCAGCTCTGACAGGTTAGTGAGGAATGGAAGGATCTATCCCACCACCCTGTCAGAGCTGAAGAAGCTTCTTGAATGAGAAGCGAAACGTCTTCAAAAGTAAAAAAACAAGAAAGTCTACTTGCCTCCTGAAAAAGAAAAGCACCTTTGGGACAATCATGACTAAGAATTTCTACAGATCATCAGTGCTAGTAAGAAATGTGGTTTGTTTTCAATTTATATTCTATTAGCTTCTCTAGTTTGGTAATGAAACATCAGCAAGAAAGCCCACAAGCACAGAGAGCACCGAAGATCCTTCCTTCCTTCCTTCCTTCCTTCCTTCCTTCCTTCCTTCCTTCCTTCCTTCCTTCCTTCTTTCCTCCCTCTCTTCGCCATTGTGGTACAGTGCTTACAATGCAGTACTGCAGGCTAATTCTGCTGACTGTCAACAGTTCAATTCTCACTGGCTCAAGGCTGACTCAGACTTCCATCCTTCCAAGGTGGGCAAAATGAGGACCCAGATTGTTGGGGACAATACGCTGACTCTGTAAACCGCTTAAAGAAGGCTGTGAAGCACTGTGAAGCGGTGTATATAAGTCTAAGTGTGCTATTGCTAAGTGCCATTCATTCATTCAATCAATCAATCAATCTCAATCAATCAATCAATCAATCTCAATCAATCAATCAAATTTCACTCACAGAATGACTCTGGGCTGAACACGGTTAAAAACAGTGCTTCCTCTTTCCCCATTTATTTTAGAAAGCAAGAGAAAGCAGGGATTAAGGATTGTTTGCAGAGTTTCTTCAAACTGTCCTTCACTAGGATTAATCAAATGAGAGTTCATAGAATTGCTTTTTTTTTTAATGCTCATCGTACCCCTATTAAAAATCATTCAATGAATCAGTGTCACTAAGGAGCTGAAAGCCTGTAATCCAAAACTGGAATCAGACACTATACACCCATGAACACAAGAATGCTATTGTTGAGAAATAATTCAAGTATGTACAGTGGTACATCAGAACTCAGAGTTCATTGATTCCAAGAGGCACGATGAGTACCAAAAATAAATTTTCCCCAGAAGGAATAATGTAGTGAGATACAGACAAGTTCTAGGTTGTGCGTTGAGTACGGAACAAACGAGGAGTAGTGAGACAAAATTTTCGCATCAAAATGCACTGAGTACCAAATTCAGTGAGTTTCAAAGCAGTTGAGTACCAAGGTACCATTATATAAGAAGACTATATGCTCTCTCAACCATAATGCCAAAACATGGGAATGGGTTAGGGTGCTGAATTTCAACCATTCATGCTTCCTTTTCTGCCTTTCAATCCCTTATGTTAAAGAGATTGTTGGTTTTGGTGCCAAGACACACAATAAAGCACAATTATTATGTCATCTATGCAAGGAAAAGGGATAAGGCGGCGCATAAACTAAAGTTATGATGATTTTAAAGTAACTCCTGCCTCAGTGGCCCATCAGATAATTTTCAAGGAGTTTCCTGATCGTAGAATAAGAAAATTATCCTAGTATTCAGAAGTTTACAAGAGAAAGGAAGGATAGAAAATGTCAGGTTTCCAAGTGATGAAATCCATTTAAAAAGAATAAAACAAAGTCCATCTTCCAAGACAATTTCTTTTATTTAGGAAAGCATCAAATTGGCAAAGTGCGTGGTGATTCCGGATCTGATACAACCCAGAATTACCCCACAATATTAAAAGTTAGAAACAACCCCCAATAGAAGTAATTCAATTCTCCAATAGAAGCAATTCAATGTTGCTTGATGTCGTAAATCTCCACCTCAAGGGGCCTAAGCATGGACAGCTCGTTTTCCCATGGGAAGAAGAATCACCTAGCCAAAACAACTCTCTCTCTCTCTCCATTCCTCCCCACTTAGGAATGTGGCAAGCCCAAAACCCTTCCCCCCATGACTGCCACAGAGAAAGCAAGAAAAAAAATACTGTATATACTAAGTCTAACTAAAATGGCTACACATGTCAATTTAGGGCTTGACAGGAAAGTTACATATGAAGGAAATGACTTCAATATAAAATTGGTGATTCGTCAGAATCCTGCTAACCTTTCTAATTTAATTTTGGAAATGCTATCACAGGTCTCCAAGGAATATATAAAATAATTCAGATACTCCAGTTACTAGAAATAAATAGTAGGTTCTTTTGTAGGAGCATTTTTACTGTATACCATTCAGTCATAGAATGGACAGCATGATGAATTTAATAAAATAAGTAAGTATATTTTAAAAGTATAATGATAACTTAGGCTACAGAAAGTAATTAACAAGTGGAATACCCTAAGTACAGGTAATCCCTGACTTACAACTTTTCAATTAATGATCATTCAAAGAGACTTATTCACACTTACAACCACTGAGGCTTCCCTACAGTCACGTGATCCAAAATTCAGGCACTTGGCAACTGATTCATATTTATGGCAGTTGTAATGTCCTGGGATCACATGATCCACGTTTGCGACTTTCTGACAAGCAGAATCCATGGGGAAGCCAGATTCATTTAACAATCATGCTACTAACTTAACAACTGCAGTCATTCACTTAACAACTATATCAAGAAAGGTTTTAAATGGGGCAAAATTCACTCCACGAATGTCTCACTTACCAACAGAAGTTTTGGGCTCAATTGTGGCTGTAAGTCGAGGACTACCTATAAACAACTATAATCAACAACAACATTCTATTCTTTCTCCTTAGTGGCCCAGCAACCTCAAACTATTGGGAATTTGGAAGAAAGAGATTAAACTGATAACAGAAAATACTTCAGCTACTGTCGACAGACTGACAATTTTTTAAAAAATTATGTTAAATAATAATTCATTAAATAAATTAATAAGGTTCTTGCATGCATTTTCCACAATCCAGAATTAAAGGAGAAAGTATTACTAGTAATGGAAGCTCTTTTTATTTAATTAATAACAAGGCTTAAAAAAATAGGGATTGGAAAGAACTTCTAGATTTTTAGTTTCAAATGATGGAAGCATCAAGTTGTCCCAGAGGTACTTTCCCGAAAGGCAACAAATCAAGACTTTCTTGGGTTTTGCATTCCTTGAATGTTTTGCTTCTCATCCAAGAAGCTTCATAGTGGATTTCAAGGGGAAAAAACCCAAAAATTACAGATATTTCAAGTATAGATGGGATCTGTTGTGGCTTGTCGGCCGCCAGCCCCTCCAGCAGCCGAATCAGAGGAGGAGGAGGAAGTGTGGGAGTCAGGGTCAGCATCAGGGCAACCTGGGAGCTCCAAGGGGGAAGAAGGAATAGAGCTGGCAGAGAGAGACAGAGGCGGAGCCTGGGCTGTCCGTCAACCCTCAGATGGAGAGTCAACAGCCCGCAGACCTGGAGGTGGCTGATGAGGAAGAGGAGGAACAGCTGGGTCCAGTGCCGGACACACATAAGGCAGAGGAGAGGAGTGGAAATCTATGG